TATTCCCCCATGGCTAGTGCCTTCTCTCAGAGACTACTTTCTATTGACACTGTATAGATCTTGTGTGTACATGGTTATTTGAATGTTCTCCCTGCCTTCAGACAACATTCAAATAAATGTGAGTGTTGTCTCCTACTTTTGAATAGGCCTATGGATAGAGTGCTGGTCCTGGAGTCAGGAAGACTCATCTTCCTGAGTTCAAATCTGGCCTCAGATTCTTTTTTTAAATGAAAACATTTATTGGAGTGTCTTGTTCAACAAAGTTTCCAGTCATAAAACATATATTATAAATCATTGAAAAAAACATTTGGCATGCATGTATATTCTTTAAAAAAATTTCTGAAATGATAAAGTCTAGATCATTACATAGTTCTCAGATACTCTGAATGATGATCCGTCATGGCTGCTGAAGTTTGTGGGTTTTGCCATGATAACTAGTCAACTCAGCAAGTCATTTAAATCTTTTTAAACCTAATGATGTCCATCATTATGGAATACACCCATGATGATTAATGGCCACTATGTAAATAGAACAAAGCTATCTTAAAGTTGTATGGTTAAAACTACCACTCAAATCAAAAATCATTATCTTTATGAAAATAGTTTGATGTGGAAAGTGACCTCAGTCATTTGCATCACCTCAGACACTTACTAGTTCTTAGTAGACCCTGGGCAAGTCATTTAATCCTGTTTGCCTCAGCTTCCTCATAGGTAAGATGAACTGGAGAAGGAAATAGCAAACCACTTCAGTATCTTTGCCAAGAAAACCCCAAATGGGGTGACATGACTGAAAAACAACTGAGTAACTCCCACTTTAGAATGTGAGCTCCATGTGGCCAAGGACTCTGTTTTTTTCTTCTCTTTTTATATCCCCAGCTCTAGGCAGAGTGTCTGGTACACAGTAAGTGTTTAAAAAATGTTTGTAAACTGATTGATCTTTTACTTGCAAAGTTGATTTTTAAAAAATTCAAGTGTAAGACTTCACATTTATCACTTTTCAATTTCATTATTCAATTTGGCCTCATGTTCTGGCTTGTCAAGATCTCTTGGCATTCTGAGTTGGCATCCAGAGTTTGCTAACCCTCTTAGCTTTGTGTTATCTGTGAATATGATAAGCATACAAGCGATGCCTTTGTCCAAATCACTAATCAAAATGTTAAACAGCAAAGGGCCAAGTACTGATTCTCTGGGGCACATCACTGGAGACTTCCTTCCAAGCTGACAAAGAGCCAGCGGTGACTCTATTTACAATCCTTCAACCACTCCAGAATATACCTAACCACACCAATGTCTAGCTCCTATCCCTCTATCTTTGTGCAAGAATAACCTGAGAGATTGTCTAATTCTTTGTTGAAACCTAAGTAAACAATATTTGCCAGGCTATCACCTGTGTCAAAAAAGAAAATGAGATTGGTCTACGATGATTTGTTCTTCATGAAGTCATGGTGACTTTTGGGATCCTTGCTTTTTCTCTTAGACATTATAGAATCTTGCCAGAAAGTGAAGTCAAGTTCACTGGCTTAGAGTCTGCAACCTCGACTGTCTTCTCTTTTTTGAAATTGGGAAATTATCTGCCCTTCTTTATTCCTATGCTATCTCTCTCCCATTCTCCACAGTCTTTCAAAGATCATGGACAACGTACCACCAATCACATCTATCAGTTTTCTAAGTGATCTGGCCCCTCCTGGATCACTGCCTTGTCATGGTAAGAGGTAGCAAGAATACACAAAAGGAATTATACAAGAAAGATCTTAACATCACTGACAACCATGATGGTATGGTTACTGATTTAGAGCCAGACATCCTGAAGAATTAAGTCAAGTGGGCCTTAGGAAGCATTGTTAATGGTAAGGCTAGTGGAGGTGACAGAATTCCCACTGAACCATTTAAAATCCAGAAAGATGATGCTGTTAAAGCATTGTACTCAATATTCCAGCATTTGGAAATCTGAAATTTGGAAAACTTGGAAAACTCAAAGGTGGCCACTGGATTGGAAAAGATCCGTTTACATCCCAAACCTAAAAGAAGGGGAATGCCAAGGAATATTCAAATTACTGAACAATTACACTCATTTCACATGCCAGCAAGGTCCTCTCCTGTCCAAAGATAATTTTCTTTAGTAGGAAAAACAGAAGCAAAATCAAAGTTGAGCAGCTCTGTTTTCTGTCAGTTTTCACTGTCCTATCCACTGTGAACCACTCTCCTATGCCTTCTTTGATTTCCAACATCACAAAAATAAAAACAAAAACCCTCCTTGTCTTTAGTTTTTCTCATCAGGCTCCACCTTCTGGGATTCAGGGTTCTTGACACTATTCTTATAGGAACATGCCTTATTCTTCTATTCATCCTGGTTTTCCTAGTCTTAATGTGTCTTTTTCTAAATCTAAGTTTGCTATTGAGTTGCCTGAGCATCTGCATGGGTCTCTTTTTCCTTCTTGTCAAAAATGTTTCTTTCTTTCATCATTGTTCAGTTTGATCCCTCCTGATCTGAATTCAATGCCAAGGAACCCTACTGTTATTATTTAAGCTGGTATTTGCATTGTGTAGCACAGGTCTGAATTAACATCAGTATTGCTGCATTTCCTTCACAGCAACCAGTCAATCAATCAATCATTTAATAAGTAGGGACTCGCTGTTAGGTGATAGGGACACGAAAAAAAGACAGTTCCTGCTCTCAAGGAGTTTATGTTCTAGGAAACAGGAAAATAACATGTATGTGTGGAAGTATATACAAAATAAATGCGAAGTAATTTTGTGTGTGGGCGTGAGGAGGGAGGGAGGAATTATCTGGGGTAGGGAGAGGGATGTTAGATAGGAGAGACTTCATGAAGAGGATGGCACTTGAGTTTAAGCTTTTGATGTAAAAACTAAGGAATCTAAGAGGTTGAGCCAATGCAGATGCAGGTGATAGAATGTCATGTGTGAGCAACTGCAGGAAGACTCATCTGCTTGTATTAGAGAGTACAGGAAGGGGAACAATGCAAAATAAAACTGAAAAGGGAGGCTGGGGCCAAGGTGGGAGGGGCTTTACACTATAAGCAGAAGAGTTTCTAGGTCATCCCAGAGATGAGAGGGAACCATTGGAGTTTACTGAGTAGGGGTGTGAGGTGGTCACACCTATGTTTTAAGAACATCACCTCTGCAGTTGGAGGAATGGGGATGGGGATAGATCAGAGAGAAGAAAAACCTGAGGCAGGTAGACCGACGAAGAGGCTATTGTAATAGTTTGGGCTAGACTAGTATGGCGGCTGAGTGAGCAGAGAGAAGTGACAGATGCTATAGAGTTAGAATTAACCAGACTTGTCAAGTGAATATGAAAGAGAGAGTGAAAGGTGGTGCCCCAGTCAGAAATAGTAAAGCCGGAAAAGGGAATAGTCTTAGGCGGGTAATAACCAATCACATTTCTCTATCATTTAAAGATTTATACATCTGTCTCCTCACAACAATTCTATGTTGTTAGTAGCTCACATTCTACCAGAAGAAAAAAACCAATGTAGCATTTTCCCCAAAAATCCATTTTTGTTTTCTAAAAAATCAGAACATGTACACAGTTAAACAAAAGATACTCCTTTTGTGAAACTTCCCAATTTCTTTTTCTTGAGATATGGATTTTGTTGAGCATGAATGATAATGAAATTGATGTGAGGGTCTGCATAAAACCCTCAAAACTCTTAAAGAACCTCAGTGGTAAGCATGATGAAAAGAATCCGTTATTTTTCTAATAAAAAGGGGATATTTTCTTTTTTGAGCTGATATGAATTTGAGTTCTGCCACAGAACACAGTTTTTGTCTGTCACAGAATCTGGAACAATCCATTGTACACAATGATGCAATGATGAGGGTCTAAACCAGGGGTTTTAAACCTTTTTTTGTGTCAAGGACCCCCTCAGGCAGTCTGATGAAGCCTTTGGACCCCTTCTCAGAAGAATGTTTATCAATACATGAAATAAGATATTTAGGATAACAAACGAAACCAAATACATTGAAATACAGTTGTAACAATGATAGCAATTGCTAGTATTCATATAGTGCTTTTAGATTTGCAAAGTGCATTACAAATTTACATTTTATCCTCACAACCACCCAGGGAGGAAGGTAGTATTGTTATCCCTAATTTATAAAGGAGGAAACCATGGCTGTTTAAATAGCTTGCCCAGTGTCCCCCAGCTAGTAAATGTCTGAGGTAACATTTGAACTCAGGTCTTCCTAATTCTAGGTATAGTGCTCTAGCCACTGAGGTACCTATCTTTCTAGTTATAAAAATCTAAAAAATAAAAATAAAAAATTCACAGACCCCAGGGAAACAACCTCTTGTTAATAAGTTCGCTTTAAAATACCATTCACACATAGTTTTCAGAAAGTTCACAATCACAGACTCAGAAACTGAGGTGAAGGCATCTTAGAGGCAAAAAATGACCATACCATATTTTCAAACACAGAGTATGTGCAGTCTCACAAAGGGTATTTTCTCGGGCTGACCCCCAAGCCTGGAACAACCTCTTTCCTCTGCTCTGATTTACTGACCTCCCTTGCTTCCAAAATGCCACCTTTTATAGGAAGTCTTCTCTAATCCCTCTTAATTCTGGGCCTTCCCTCTGGTAATTATTTTCTGTACATAGCTTGCTTTGTATATATCTGTTTGCATATTTACTTCCCGATTAGACTGTAAGCTCTTTGAGGGCAGCTAGTCTTTTGCTCCTTTTTGTATCCTCAGTGCTTAGCATATATATACACATTATCATATATAAATATATATATATTAAAAATAGATGTTTAATAAAATATTGATTTATTGATTGATTCCTAAAGTTTATTTTTTCTTCTTGAAACTGGGATTTCACTGGGAAACCCAGGACACATAATCGCCACACTCAGGGGTTATTTGTTCTACCCCTTTACATTGTTAATGTTGAAAAGACCATAATGACTTTGGGAAAACATCTAGTAGAGTACAGCTATTCTACTTTGCCAGGCAGATTCTTTAGATCAGAAGGTCTTACCAGCAGGAGTGGAAGTTGGTTTTGGGGCAGGAAGCAGACTCCGGCGGGGAGTGGTCACAATGTTGGCTGCTTGTGCGGTGGTCCGACCCGTACCCTTGGGTGCATCTTTAGAAAGCACAGCTGCCTTTGGAGCAGGTTGGTCTTCATTCACAAAGCTGGAACCTGCAGGAGGCCAAGAGTCATTAATTATAACTTCATGAAAAATAGATTGACTCGGTTTCTATTTCCAATTGTCAACTATGATAAAAGCACAGTATACTTATATCTTGACCCGACTTTAATAAGAGACTAGGGGAGTACATCTTTCTGTGTAACCAAATACATGGGAAAAATAATTCGCTTTTCCCAAAGCATAGCTATTGTTTCCAAGTTATCTCTGCATTGGGAATAATGTGGGTGGGGAAGAAATAGGTAAAGGTTTAAAGTAATACAGCAGACCTCATTCTGCAATTGTATTTAGTCATCTAAAACTGAGATTTAAAATCAGCTGGGGTTGAGTAGTAATAACTCTTTGGTTAACAAAGGTTAGATTTTGATTAGATTTCACAATTGATAAACAGTCAAAAGATATATACAAGGAGTTTTATTTTTTATTAATTTATTTTGATTTATCAACACTTACTTCCATATGCTTTGGAGTTTAAAATTTTTCTCCCCCTTCCTCCCCACCACCCTCCCCAAGATGGCGCACAATCTGATATACATATACATTCTTATTAAACATATTTTCACATTAGTGATGTTGTAAGTAAAAATTAGAAGCAATAGGAGGAACCACCAGAAAGAGGAAACAAAACTCAACAGAAGAGGAAAAAAAATAGCAAATAGTATGCTTTGATCTGCATTCAAATTCCATAGTTCTTTCTTTGGATGTGGATAGCATTTTCCATCATGAGGTGTGAGGGACTGTTTGATGCCAGCTACTGCCAGATGGGGGTTGTGCCAACATGGGACGGAAACTGGGTACCAGAAAGTAACTGGAGCTCTTGCTCCCGAGGCAGAGGCGGTGCTGGGCGGAGTTGTGGCGCACTGGGATGGGATCTGGGTTCAGAGAGGTAACCTGAGCTCACACTCCCGAGACTGGAGCGGTGCTGGATGGAGCTGTGACAGGCTGGGGAGGAAGCGGGGTACAGGGAAGTGGCTGGAGCGCACGTTCCCTAGGCAAGGACTGTGCCGCTTGGAGGGGGACGGCAGAGAGCGAGCTCTCTCTGTCTAGCCTCCTTTTTTAGGTACTACGCCGACCCCAGACACCTCCCCCCGGTATCTGGACCCGACTTCCTGCATCACATGTACTCTCCTTTGTCTATGCACTAATCCCTCACGCCTCCTTCCAAATCTCTGGGACCCACTTCCTGTGCCACGTATGCTCCCTTTGTCTGGACACTAGCTGGACATCGTTTTTTTGATATTTGATCCTCGACGAGTCACTATGGGCAGGCTGAGGAGGAAGGACGAAGAAGGTACTAAAAAGAGCTGCGGGGGGCGGGGCGCGTAGTCGGCTTTTGTTCCTGCCCTCGCGTGTGCCTTCCTGCCTGGCCTTGCTGTGATGATTATTGAATAAAGTTCAGGTTTTTGCACCCCCCGATTGGCTCGTTTCTGGTTTACCCGGGTGGCCTCCGATGAGATGTGAGTATGACTCTGGTTGGCTGATTTGGTTGAAAGAGTGTACGCGATTTGGACCGGCACAATGAGGCCTTTGGAGATGTCTTAGATCCTTGTATTGCTGGAAAGGGTTAAGTTTATCAATATCAGTCATCGCACAATGTGGCTGTTATTGTGGACAACGTTCTCTTGGTTCTGCTCACTTCACTCAGCATCAGACCATACAAGTCTTTCCAGGTTCTTGTGAAGTCAGCTGGTTCATCATTCCTTATAGCACAACAGTATTCCATTACATTCATATACCACAACTTGCTCAGCAATTCCCCAATTGATGGGCATCCTCTCAATTTTCATTTCTTTGCCACCACAAAAAAGAGCTGCTATGAATATTTTTGTACATGTAGGTCCTTTTCCCATTTGTATGATCTCTTTGGGATATAGCCCTAAAAATGCCATTGCTGAGTCAGTATGCCCATTTTTATAGCCCTTTGGGCATAGTCCCAAATTGCTCTCCAAAATGGTTGGATCATTTCACAACTCCACCAACAATACATTAGTGTCCCAATTTTTCCACATCTTCTCCAACATTTATCATTTTCCTGTTTTGTCATGTTGGTCAATCTGATAGGTATGATGTGGTACCTCAGAGTTGTTTTGATTTGCATTTCTCTAATCAATAGTGATTTAGAGCATTTTTTCATATGACTATAGATGGTTTTAATTTCTTCATCTGAGAACTGCCTGTTCATATCCTTTGACCTTTTATCAATTGGTATACAAGTAGTTTTAAAGGAAGAAATCTAAGCTATCAACTATCAAAACTCCTCCCAAAATTCCCATTTAATTTCTTATGCTGACCTGCAATATATTAAAACCATGATGGGGAAAGTTGCAATGTGGAAGAGATAACTACATCTATATAGACACATGTTATCTCCTAAGTTATTTCAAGGCAAAGACTGTTTACTTTTGTGTACGTATCTCTAGCACTTAGCACATTGCCTTAGATGTAGTAGGAGCTTAATAAACTTTTGTCAGTTGATTGATCCTGAAAGAAAAGAAGCTCATCTGAAACTCAGCTCTCATGGACTCATCAAACCAAGTAGTAAACCTAAGTAAGACAGAATTTAGTTTTGTTCCAAACACAGAACAGGTTTGACTGACAACTTTAATATTTTCATTTTTGCTAGAAACTTGAACAGTTATTAAACAGGAAGGTTTAGTGAGAATCAGTTCTTCTGTTCTTTGGAAGAAATAACACATTAAATTTGAAAGAATAAATATTGGTTTCAGCAATCCATTAGTTTTCAACAGATACACCTATCTGAAATTTAGATCACAACAAGAAGCAATTATTAACCATTTACTATGCACAAAGCTCTGGAGGAGCCTACACAGTTTGGCTAAGCCACAATCCCTGCCCATTAATACTGAACGTTATAATCCATACTACTATATTAAGTATGTTAGAGAGTTGAAATAAAATGCTATGGGATTTCTGAGAGTGAAGGTTGTTACCAGCTAAGGAGATCACAGAAGTCTTCTTGGAGGAGGCAGCCTTTGGAATGTTCTTTGAACAAGGGTTAGAAATTCAAACAACCAAGAATAGGAGGGAAAATTCTAGGGGCATAGGGAACAATGGGGGTAATCATGTGGAGATATGAGAATCCAATGCATTTTATTTTATTTTATTGAGGTAGGGGTGGGAGCAGAGATTTCATTCCTTTGGGCACACCTTTCAGAAACCTTTACATCAGAATTTAATCTCAGCATCCAGGTTTGGATAGAGACGACACAATGAGAATCTCTTTTACTATGATGAAAACCAAAGGAAACAAGTACAAATGTATGCGTATGCTTAAGTGTGTTAAGGTATTCCAGGAACTTTAAAGTGTTACATAAATGCTGGACATCATCAATATACATGCACACATGTATATACCTCTGAGAAATTTCATTTGAAATGTTCTCTATTAAATTAGCAGCCATAATTGGGAAAACTTCCAGATCTGTTAACTTAGACTTCACCTCTCTCCTGAACTTCAGTCCCACATCACCAACTCTTAGCCTCTCAAACTCATCACATCCAAAACAGAATCGATTATGTTCCTCCCCAACCTTTCCCTATTTCTATTGAAGACAATCCCATGCTTTTATTTTTGAGGCATTGTGTAACCCAAGTTGGCGTGCGTGGCATTATTATCATTGGGTCTTCCTTTCTCTTTCATCTCCCATATCTAACTGGTGGCCAAGTCTTACTCATTCCACCTTCACATTATCTCTTGCATTCATTCATTCCCTCCTTTCTCTCCCCTCACATGACCACTAGCCAGATTCAGGTCTTTATCACTTCTCATCTGGACTTTCTGATTAGGGATTGATATGTCCCTTCTCCAATCCATCATCCAAACAACTGCCCGCACAGAGATAGCACAGATCTAACTGTATCATTCCCCTACTCAAAAATCTCCAGTCACCTCCAACTAAGACGAGAATTTCTCTGTTGACCTTTAAAACACTTCACCACCCAGCTCCAGTCCTTTCCAGGCTTATTACTGATTTGTTGTTGTCGAGTTGTTTTCAGATTTGTCTGACTCTCCAAAATCCCATTTGGGGTTTTCTTGGCAAAGATACTGGAGCCATTTCCTCCTCCAGCTCATTTTACAAATGAGGAAACTAAGACAAACAGGGTGCAGTGACTTGCCCAGAATCACACAGCTACTATGAGTCCACAGCGCAAATTTGAACTCAGGAAGATTAGTCTTCCCGACTCCAGGACCAGAATTTTATGCACTGCACCGCCTCACTGCACATTATTACCGATTATTCTCCTGCAAATTCTCTACATTCCAGCCAAAGGGCTCTACTGACTGTTCCTTGTACAGAAGATTTAATCTCCCACTTTCTGTATCTTCGCAAAGGCTGGCTCCCATGAGGAGGGAATATACACCCTTCTCCCCCGTGCCTTTTAGGAGCCTCGGCTTCCTTCAAAATGTACCTCAAGTGCCACATTCTATGGGAATCCTTTCTCCATATCACAATTTGCTAGTAGCGTCTCCTGAGCAATTGTTTTTTTATGTACTTTCTATACAGTTTGCATTTGTTGCAACCGCTGCCTGGTTTTAGCTCCACAGCACAAGATGCCCCTCCCAGGATAAGCTCATCACTTCTAAACTCACCACCATGTTGCCAACTCAAGGCTTGATTGACACCACGTCCCTCAGCTTCCTCTCATCCTCTATTTGGAGGACAGCGAATGCCTTCCTTTACAGAGGGCAGAAATTGGACTCTCACATCACTCCACTTTGCATCTGCTGCCCTGCCTGGTTTCAACTCCATGAAACAAGATGCCCCTCTGTTGAGCACCCCTTGGTGTCCCATGCCCCACCCCCTTTTCCTGCCTCCTTTTTGCGTTATCTATCCCTTTAGACTGTAAGTTCATTGAGACAGGATCTTTCTTTTTTTATTAAGAAAGCACTTAGCATATCCTCAGCACTCAGCACATTGTAGGTACTTAATAAATGTTTATTGGATTTGTTGGAGTATTTACTCTGCATATA